ATTGAAGAAACCGTAAAAGTTGACAATTATCCGGCTCAATCAAGAAGGGCTTGTGTAGCAGCAGGAAGCGCAAGCTCCGAGATTCTCTCAATTCCAGCACAGCGCAATCCGCAAGAACCGCGGCATAATATTGGGTTGTCTCATAATTCCTGTCTCAATTTCGACACTTTTGTTTATTCAAGTTTTATCTCTTCTAGGAAACAACTGATCAATAGCATAACCACCATCATGGTCACTGATATGCGTGCATTTGCTAGGAGTTTGGAAGCTTCCAGCCCAGAATGAAGGAAGCTGGGGGTTGAAGAATTTGGAGAAGTCGTTTTTGGGGTGGTCGCAATCTTTAACTTTTTCTCTGGCAGATGCTGATTTCAGGGCACAGGGGAGGTGTTTTTATGGTGCAAGGGGCCCAGTATGAGGTTGATTTTCACAGCTCGTTTCGTCTTTGCCGTTGCGATTGGACCACTAGCTCAGTACCCTATCAGTAGCAGAGACTGGGTCAAACACAGCGCTGATCTTCTCTGTTGTCCTCCTTGCTACAGAGTTCATTTGAGGATCGTAAAGCATAATCATTCATTATAGTCACTGACCTATTTTTATTCCTAGTTGATTAACCCGTTACGGGCTTGCGCTTCCGAAACCATGCTGTTAAGGCTCTTGAAGCATACTTCAACATACTAACGTATTTCGCAATGAAACGGTCTTAGACGGAAGAAATTTGAAATTGAATAGAAATGCGACAGGAATTATGAGAGACAACCCAATATAAAACAAGGCGAGATAAAAAAAAACTTTCTGCGCTGATTACATCCTTAGGGATGCGTAACGCCCTTCAATCACGGCATCATAATGATCTAATTAACGGCGTGCTCATACAATGAATTCCAAGGTCATCTTTGGGTCATTGCAAATTTGCATAGCGCTAGGCAGGGTAAGCATGCCATCCCTTTCCCTTTACCAAAAGGTCTTGTTACCCATCGGTCCATCCCCCCATTTTCTATACGACCTCCTCTGTGGGATTCAGGAATGTGGTAAATCGTTGCACAGACTTCAGCCTGACCCACTTCAACTATGCCTTGGGAAATCTCAATTTCCTCCTGAGCGGCGGGAGGAATTTTGCGTTTCACGCCGTTATTATCTTTGGTTTTTTCCCTACCTTGCTCATCGAGAGTCATAGATGACTCCTTCCCACGAGGAAAGACCGACCTCTGTTCAGGAACAAAAGACCGTTCCCCTTCCATGGTTAGGTCAATATTAGTTAGCGCTTGGGGACCAACACAGCAGTTCACCTTTAGGAGAGCCGTATGGTCTATTCCTGAAGGGGTCTAGGTGAAGGAAAGTTCTTTAACTCTCTCTCTCTCGCTCTCCCAATTGGGAGGGTACCCTCTGATAAAAGGTCTCTAACAATGAATGAAATGGTAACCGCTCCCTTATTCAAAACGCGAGAAAGCTATGGCTGCAGACCAAACACCACAATGACGGAACGGTCATTCAAGTAAAAGGCTGAAGAAAAGTTCGTGATATGAACGAAGACTGATTTATGGTAGATGCATATTGTAATCAGTGGACAAACTACGAATGACTACAACTGGTAACAGGCGGTAATCATTCCATTAACGGGCAACATTCGGGCATTTCGTGCTAGGTCCAATCGTTGCTCTCTCGCGCCAGGATATGTCTGCACCGACATTGTTCCCCCTTTTTGAATGGGAGGTTATGCTAGACGTAGGAGGTAGGATCATGCATTGGGAATAAATGAAGAAATGTACACTCCGCTCAAAGCCAAACTAAATCTTTAGGCGAAACCCCCCTCCACGGCTTCAATGCCGAGCAAAACAAGATTTGGAATCGCCTAGCTTTTGGGACAGAACGGTGAAGCATACGGCCCCAGAGATCGCTTCGCTGCACTTTTTCTAGGCACCGCGCTATCTTCATATTTTCCGTAAAAAAATAAAATAAAAAAATAAATAAAAATAAACTGAATTAAGTGATCTACAGCTATTAAAAAACAAGAAATAGAGCGTATCTAAAAACTGTATTCACGAGAGCAAAATATTACAAGTAATAGAAAGACAGGTGCCTCAGGGAAGAAAGTTTTCAGGTTCATGTGAGCGGTAGAGGCTCACAGTCCCAATACCTTAAAAGCCTAGGACAAAAAAATTGTGAAAAAAATACAAAAACATGTCTAGAGCAAGACATATCGATGAGTTTGCGGTGGAAGTTATCCAAGACCAGACTCGTTGATGGTTCAGGATCAATAATGGCCAGGGTGAAACAGAACCGGGTTCCAGTTGTAATTTATCGATCAATCTTCCACACTTGCTGCGACACCGATGTGTTTATGAGCAACAAAATTTTTTGAAGGCCTTGAAAAATCAAATTTTCTGAATGAAAAATTCGAAGTAACGGAAGGATTTATAGGGTATTGCATACTGCGAAGTACTCGGAAACTCTGGACGAATAGTCCTTGCTTTTTGCAAGTCTTCAGCTTCGATTACGCCCACAATAATTGAAGGAATCATCCATGGAAAAATCATTATTCTATCTCACCCATAGTTCATGATAAAAAAGATAGGAACCAAAAAGTTGTGTTTGTTTCCGTAAACAATTCGAAAAACCCGAAAACTGTTACGCGTTCAAATTCCCGCCGTACATCTGTCACAAATGTTGGCGACGGGAACGATTCCACTTGGTTCTCGGAGTGCCTCACTAGGAACTCTTTTTGGCCTTTCACCTATGGCAATAACATTTCTCTTTTCTACTGCATCCTATTCTATCGATCGTTTTGTCTCTATTCTCCGAATTCGAACGCTTTAACCCGATTTTTCAATGCGTCACCTGATACGTGGCGCTCAAGGCGCAATTTTCCATGCGTTATCCTTTATCCCGCCCGACCTACCCTCGACCGTCCATAGAGGGTACTTTTCGTGAGTTTGTTTCTCTTCGAAAACTGAATCCTTTTGCGTAAAACTTTGCATGTGTCACTAGTGATCACAATAATATTTAATAATTATACTGGGAGCATGCAGAAATTTCCCACGAACAATTCCTCTGAACATGCAGATCTGGCATGTAAACAGGACAGTTTTAGCCCAGCAGTTAGTCGTGCAAATCAGCGCAGCGTCAGACTCGCAGCAGTGTTAAGTCAGGAGCCAAAATATCGTTTGTTGATGAATTCAATCCAATCATTCTGAGTGGTCTCGTGTACAACA